CGCCAGCATCCCGCGCCCCGAGCCCCGCTCCCGGGACGCGCGGCGGGACAGACGCGGAGCCGGGGTCTCAGAACAGCCTTTAATCCCGCGCCCTACAGGACCAGCGCCCGGAGCGCCTCCTCCGCCGAGCGGCACTGGGTCAGCTGGATCTGGACCTCCACCGTCAGGGGGTCTGGGTGGTAGTTGCTTTCGTACACTGACACCAAAGATTTTTCCCTTTTCTGAGGAGATAAAAACACGAGTATGTGAATGCGGAGCGACGAGCGGCAGCGCGGAAGGTCTGGCTTGCCCGGCCGCCCCCGACCCGCTCGTCACACGTCCCCGAAACGCAAACCTGGCCTCCGCCCCGAGGCGACCACGGTGTCAGAACCGCATTCCGCCCTCGGGTCTAAACCGTAATAAGGAATAAACCTAAACCACATCTAATTAGAGCATTTAACCAGTCTCAGCTGTTTTGAGTTACAAGACGAACTAGCGCCTTTTTCCTGGAACACCTTTTTCACCTGACAAACTTGTTTATCCCGAGGTGAGCGCTGGGCAGGCATTTTCTGAAAAACGAATAAAGCAATCCTGCCACTTCAGGGAAAACAACTGAAAGCATTTTGACAAATACATTTATAACATTCGAGCTTTCAAGTAGAAATTAGAATTTTGGAACATTGTATCTGCCTCCATGAACTTAACAGTTTTCCAATACTCTAAGCCTTTTCTTACGCCGTGGGTAGTGATAAAGAATGCGATTTTTGGATAATGGATAAAGAAATGTGTCAGCAGTTGGAAGATCTGCATAACTCAGTGAGCAAATAACTTATTTTACAAATAGCAGTTGTTATTTTTACAAATACACAACTGCCAGATGTTACCATTTGTCCGCGGATGTGACAGCCATTCAAAATGCAAAGTGAGAAAAAAAGCGATGTAGACCAAGAGATTTTAACATAACTGATTATGAGAAAATTCATCCATATAGATTGTTGTCACATTGTAACAACCTGTAAAAAAAACTACTAGTTGTCAAATTTGATGTAATGTCAAAGAAGAATAGCCACAATTACTTAAAAGCCTATTGAAATATTTCTCTTTTCCAGTATACGTCCTTGTGAGGTTGGACAGTCTTTATACACTTCAACCACACTGACACATCACAGAGACTGACTCCAGAAGCAGCTATGCAAACGTGGCTGTCCTCAATGAAGCCAGATATTAAAGAGGTTTGTGAAAATACGGGAAAAACAAGTTTTTCTTTTTAAAGCCCATTTTACCCCCATGGCTCAATCACAAATCTCTTGACCATATTTGTACAGGTCTCGAAGTCCAGTAGTGTAAGTCCTTTGTTCTTTTTCAAAGTTGTTTTGGCTATTCTAGGTTCTTTGAATTTCTATATGAACTTTAGAATCAGCTTGCTGATTTCTACCCCCCGCCCCCGAAAAAAAAACCCTCCAGGGTTATGACTGAGATTATATTAAACATGTAAATCAATCTGAGGAAAACCAACAGTTTAACAACATTGAATCTCCTGGTCTTATGTACATAGTATAACCCCCCACCTATTTAGGCCTTTGATTTTTCTCAGCAGCATTTTATGGTTTTCAGTATACAGAATGTCTACATCCTTGGTCAGGTTTATCCCTGTTTTATATTTTTTCAGTGCTACTGTAAATAGTATTGTTTTAAAATTTCCGTATTTCATTGTTCATTGCTAGAGTATATGGCAATCATTTTTGAGTACTGACCCTGTATTCTGCAGCCCTGTTAAACTCACTTGTTAGTTTTAGACGCTTTTCTGATACAGGTAGTAGGGCTATTCACTTCTCTCTAAATACTGCTTTAGTTACATCCAACTCATTTGGGTATTTTGTATTTTTATTTCCCGTCAGTTCAAAATGCTATCTAATTTCCCTTTTGATTTCTTCTTTGACCCATGGGTTATTTAGAAGTGTGCTATGTAGTTTCTAAAACTTTGGGGATTTTGCAAATATCTTTCTGTTACTGATTTCTAATTTAATTCCACTGTGGTCATAGAGGATACTATGTGAATTGAATTCTTTTAAACTTATTGAAACTTGTTTTATGGCCCAGGTTATAGAATATCTCAGTTCTGTGCGCACTCAAAGACAGAGAGAGAGAGAGAGAGAGAGCGCGCGCGCGTGTGTGTGTGTGTGTGTGGTATGTTACTGGATGGCTTACTCTACAGGCGTCAGTTAGCTCAAGGTGATTGGCAGTGTGATTCAAATCTTCTATATCCTTACTGGTTTTCCGTCTACTTGTTCTATCAACAATTACTTAGAGAGGTGTACTGAAATCTCTGAATATAATTTTGGATTTGTTTACCTTTTCTTGTACTTCTATCAGTTTTTGTTTTATGTATTTTGAAGCTCAGTTATTAGGTGCATACATGTTCAGGACTGTTACATCCTCCTGATGAACTGACTCCTTTATTATTATGAAATGACACTCCTTATCCCTGGTAACAGTCTTTGCTCTGGAGTCTATGCTGCCCGATATTAATACAGATGCTCCCATTTTCTTCTGATTAGCGGTAACATGAATAGCTTTTTCCACCCTTTTAACATTTTTGTATCTTCCTATTTAAAGTGGGTTTCTGGTAGGTAGCATATAGTTGTCCTTATCTAATTATATCATCTCTGATTTTTAATTGGGTATTTAGGCCCCTTATATTCAGTGTGACTACTGAAGTAATTGGGTTTAAGACTACCACCTTGTTATTTGTTTTCTATTTATCCTGTATATTGTTTCTTTTTGTTTCCACATTTAGATGAACTGAATATTTTTATGACCTCTGTCTTCTTTCCTCTGTTGGCTAATAAGCTACAAATCTTTGTTGTGTCATTTTAGAGTTTAAAATAAACTTTTGTTTATTTTTTATCTAAACTCATTGTTTAGAGCTTAAAATAAATATCTTTAACTTATCACAGTCTCGTGTCAGGGGTTATTACACCGCTCCACGTACAGTGACCGGAAGAACCTTACAGAGACACACGTCCATTTCTCTCCTTGCTCCCACCCTTAGCTTCTGTGCTATTGTTAGCGTCCATTTCACTTCTACAAATGGGCACCACAGTACAGTTACTTTTTGCATTAAATAATCAACTGTCATGTAAAGATATTTAAATAACGAGTCCATATTTGCCCACAGTTACCATCTCCACTTTTTGGCGATTGTGAATAATGCTGCTCAGATCCTCCCTTACAGTTCTGCAGCAGTCTCCCAGCCGGGTTCCCTCCTCTCTCCCTCCGAGCCAGACAGTTCTTTCTAAAACTGAAATCTAAAACTTACCGATTTCGATGGCTGCCACTGCCCGGACCACAAGCCCAGGCTCCTCATACAGCAAATACGGGCTAATGACCCCAAGCAGGAGCAGGACCACAGCTGAGCCAGAAGGACACCGGGCCGCTCCCAGCACTGAGCCTCCCCACCCATTTTATCCGGGCCTCTGCCCAGAGTGCCTCTCCTGCCCGTGTCATAACCGCAGCAGGCCGCTGCACCTCAGGGTGGCAGGGAAGACACAGGGTTTGGTCCCCAGGGTGGGCATGGCCTTCCCACTGGCTGGAAGATACGATTCTCCATCCTTCTATCCCCTTGTCCCCAGTTGGGCTGACCCCTCAGCAGGTTCTGCTATATTTGTGTCCCTCCCTCCAAATTCATATGTTGAAATCCCAGCCCCCAAAGGTGATGATATTAGGGATGTGGGGGCCTTTGGAAGGGGACTGTGTCCTGAGCACAGAGGGAAACCACCCTCCCCTTCCACCGTGTGAGGACCAGGGAGCTGGCACCAGCTGTGAGCCAGGGACAGGACTCTTACCAATGGCTGCTGGCAACTTCGTCTTGGACTTCTTAGCCTCCATAGCATCTAGAAACAAACGTCTGTTGTTTCTAAGCCACCCAGGCTGAGCCATTTCATAGCAACCCGGAGGGTTGAGGACTGGTGCTCGGGAAGCACTCCCTGCCCTGTCGCCATCATCAGTCCTTACCCTTTCTCGCTTTCTTATTCTTTGAATCCTAAGAAAAAGAACCACACAATAGACTCCTCACTGGAGTAGGGGGTGCTGGGGAAGGGGTGGGTGCAGATTCCAGTGCCCTCCCGTGGGCATTCTCACCCCAGCCAGGGCCTCTCCTGGACCAGGAAGGCAGGGCAGGGTCTCCTGCAAGGAGCTGCCCCACCTGCCCGCTTGCCTGCCCCCCCCCCGCACCTGAGAAGGCTGCCCATGTGCAGGTGACCCTTGCCTCGTGATGGCCCTCCCTCCTGCTATCCCTCCCTTCTACTGCCCCTCTTCCCGTGGTTCTGGGCCCCCTCCCTTAGCCCACTTCCCCTCCCTCCATGGCCTGGCCACTGCCCTTCCCTGCCCCAGGGCTTCCCTGCACAGGGGCCCTGCTGTACCCTGAAAAACGTCAGCTTGTCAGTCTCCAAGGTGCGGATCACCCCAAAGTCGCACACGGTGGACACGAATGGCTCCCCTGCAAGCAGGGGCTCCAGGGCCACCCGGCCGCTGCCCAGCACGCGCAGGATGGGCGGGTCCTGACGCAGATCCTTCAGGAGCTCCTTCTTCTTCTTGCCCTCCTTCTGCTCTTGCGGGGAGAGGCCGGGCGGGTGGATGGGGCAGGGGCTGTGGGGGCGCCGTCCCTCCTCCCCGGCCGCCCCCGCCCGGAGGTACCTTGGCTGCGTCCTTCTCCCCTTTTCCTGCCTTGTCTTTCCCATCTTTTCCCTTCTTGTCTTTCTCCTCTTTCTCCTTCTTCCCTTTCTTGTCCTTCTCCCCTTTTCCTTTCTTGGCGGGCATGGGGCTGTCGGGGGAAGGCGGCACCACAGGCCAGGAGAGAATCTAGGGGACGGAGGCCAGGTGGGGGCTAGCCGGCATCTTTCTGGAAAGGCGCTGAGGCTCCACCAACAAGGGAGTGGGGCTTCACACACCCGGACAGAAAAGAACAGAGCAGAAGAGGGCAGTGTGAGGCCCCTGGCGAATTCCAGCCGCGCGCCCACCTTCTCCTCCACGATGGTGACGGTGGTTCCTGACATGAGGAAGGCCTTGAGCGGCACCAGGTCGCTCAGCGTGTGCTGCATCTCGTAGTTGCAGGGGATGACGTCGGCCCAGGGCTTGCGGACTGTGCTGAACAGGACTGTCCTGGGGGAGGGAAGATGAAGACACGGGGGCCGTCAGCCGGGGGCTGTGCCGGGGACCAGGGAAAAGGCTGTGCGGGCACAGCGTGGGACTGCGGGGCCAGCCCCCCAGGGAGGCTGGGGCCAGAGGGCCAGGACCCATACGGGCACAGAGGAGAAAACAAAATGATAAATGCCGAGTGGAGACATGCTTCAGGGGCCTGACTGTGCACCGAACAACATGGAAAACAACCAAACATGAATCAAAAGTTTTTTTTTTTAAGTTCAGCAAAGTAGTTGTAAAAAAAAAGTAGATTCATGATGAATTTCCTGAGTCATCACAAAGCGCCAAGCAGAATTCTCTTAGGAATGTCACAAGGCTTGGCAAACTGAGGTGGAAATTCATTCTGCTAATTTCTAAGCAGACTTAGGACCACAGGGACTCAAGCAGATGTCTCTACACTGGCGTTCACAACAGCATCCTTCATAACAGCCAAAAGGCAGGGACCACCCGAGTGATGGATAAAGAAAAGATAGGACAGCTGTACAATGGACTGTGACTCAGCCTTAATTAAAGGGACTGAAATTCTGACTTGATACAACATGGACAAACTTTGTAGACATTATGCAATAAACCAGACACAAAACGATAAATATTGTTGAATTCCACTTACACGAGGTACCTGGAATAATCAGATTCATAAAGAAGGAAAGTAGAATAGAGGTTCCCGGGGGCTGAGGGAGGAGGAAATGGGGAGTTTTGTTTCACAGAAACACAGTTTCCATTTGGGAAGGTGAAAAAGTTCTAGAGCTGGATGGTGGTGGTGGGTGCACAACAATGTGAATGCCTTTAATGACACTGAACTGTCCACTGAAAAAATGGTTAAAATGGTAAATTTTAAGTTATGTGTCTTTTACCACAGTAAAAAAAAGAAAAAGACGCTGAAAACTGTGAACTCCAGGAATATGACGCCGCATTACTCATTTTCAAACGCCTCGTGCCTAATCTAGCTCCTGGCAAATCAAAACAAGCACTTGATGAATGAATGGATTCATTAATAAATCAGTTATCTGTGCCACTGGATTTCTAAAGTATACTGGAGAGTAAAAATTCTCAAAATAGTAATATATTGGGTCTAAAGCAGGAACAACGAGTCCCCCAGACTAGAATTCAGAATCCGTAGGAGTTAGGTTGGAATTACAACGTGCGTGATAACCACGAGGAAGCAGTGTGACGCATGTTGTTTTAACAACTCGGTCACAGCCTGGAGGAGCAATAACAACATACTGTCACAAATTTAAGGTAAATCTGAGTTAAACATGAATTTTAAAAACTAGAAGAGAATACAAGACTTACTCCAGCACCGAGGTGGGAGAAAATCTTTTCCTCCAAGTAGAGTGCAATCAAGGATAAAGTTACGGATCAAAGTATAATAGAGGCTACATTCAACAAAATAGAGATGCCAGTCCAGGGCTTACAGATCAGCTGTGCAAAACGCATGTTAAGAAGGCAACATAAAAATAGAGGAAGTACATGTGATGTTAAAAATCAGGGATGCTGACAGAAAGAATCTGAGACAGAGTGTGAATACATACTTCCCAGATTAAAGAAATGCCGTAACCTCCTGAAATTTAAAACGTATGCAAAAAAAAAACCAATGATAAAATTGTGTACACAAACACATCAAGGATGGCATTCAAAAATCTACTAGATGAAAGAAAGGAGCTGTTGACACAGTCTGTTTGCGGGCCAGCATCTCCGCTATGGTCATCTTCCTAGAATGCACGTCTGACTTGGGACTCCTCTGCTGAAAACTTTTAACAGTTTCCCATCAGGAGAAAGCAGGCTTTCTCTCTGTCTGTCCACCTTTCCAGCTCTATGTCTTTCCAATCTCCACCTTCTTCCATATTCCAGCTTCTTACAGCCGTTTTCTCTTAAATCTACGTGCCCGTCGCAGGAGCACGGACGCCCCCGGTACCTGCCAGAGGGCAGCGCTCCTCACGCTGAGCGTCCACTGCCCGCCGTCGGCGTGGGTCCCTCCCGACTTGGGTGAGGGCCCCACGGAACACACCGAGACGGAAGTATCTTGCTGGCTCTCTGCGAGCCTCACACCCAGAATCATGCCTGTTAAGAGTAGTTAATTGTGTGGGATGACTTGGATGGAGGTGAGGAAGCTTTTGTTTTATAATTTACACGATCTTTAAAGTGGTAGAATTCATTTTTTTTTGTGGTACCCCAGGTAGGACCCGAACCCACAATCCCTGGCTTTCGGAGGCCAGTGCCTTATCCATTAGGCGACTTGGGCTAAAGTGGTAGAATTCTTTGTGGCTCTTAATGTTTTTGTGCATCTTTCCAAAATGACAACAGCAGCAGCCGGCTGTGATTAACTCCGCGCGCTGGCGCGGAAGGGCTGCCTCCATCACCGCCCTCCCTGCGGCGGGCTGGCTGCTCCGGCACCGGTGGGAGCCCCAGTACCAGGGCCTGAGCGATTTCAGCTGCCCCCGCAGTCCCGACAAGCCTGTATCACTCACGCTCAGTTGAGGTTTCAAATAATTTAAACAAAAATAGTTCTTTCAACACACTTTGAGAGCAGCTGGCTTCTCACATTCCTTGAGGGCATCAGCAGCGAAGTCTGTGCGAGGGGAAAGCTCCGCCCACTAGACCTTGTGCTTTCTGCCCTCTGGTCATCAGAAGCACCAAGTGGATCGGCTAAAATTGATTGATTGAATTTCGGAATCAATCAGGAATTAAGCCATCCAGGCTTGATGTTTTGAAATTAGTACAAAATCAGTTAATAGAGCTTCAATACTAAGTGAGAACTGACTCTTCAGTTCTTGTAAAATTCATCATCATCGAAAAGCATGATCAAATAAGGCAAAACATCTATCTATTCATACATGAGTAAATATGAACCTATTCATGTCTTATACACACGAAGCCTGTGGAATGGACGAGACTGGACTTACTAGGGCAGGAAAGAACCTGCTACTCAGGTTAGAAGATCTGTACCACTTGTTAGATAAATCCTAGATGAATTAAAAATTTAAACCGTCTCACCCCACGGATCAGGAGTGGGCTGCAGGGGACACTCAGGATCCAGACGAGAAAGGTGAGGCAGGTGCAGTCTGAGCTCAGGCCAGCTGGTGACCCCCAGCCTGCTCCCCACCAGGGTGCATCCTTACCCCGGGGATGGGCAGAGCCGGGGATCCAGATGCGGCCGGAGCTTGGCCAGCTCTTCAGCAGAGTCCACAGACGTCCGCGGCAAGGGTGCCGACCCACCGGAGACCAGAGACTCCTCCATCTCGCCCAACTGCGACTGGGAGACTGGCCCGGACTCTACGGAGTCTTCAGCCTCTTCCACGACCTCTTCAGGAACATCCTCACCCAGCTGCTCTGTGCTGGGAGAGGGCTTGACGATCTGCCAGAGGAAACACGAAAACACATCCAGGGCTGCCGTCCTCGGGCGCTCATCTGATACGATGACGCGAAGGTGGTGTGAACGGGTGCCTGGGTTTTGGTGGGTGTGACGCATGGCAGACCCAAGGACTTGGGAGGCAGGAAGTTAGAAAAAAAAAGTCTTATTTCTTCCGAAAGCCCTGTGCTAAGAGCAAAAACAGTAACTTCCGCATGAGACAGGGTACCCTCACTTTTCTCCTAGTCTGATGACATCATTGCGTTTTCTCTTCACGGGAAGGGAGACAGGACGTGTAGGGGAAGTTGGAAACAGGGCTGGGACGCCATCAGCCTAGTTGGGAAATTCTGAGCTGCTCCAGTTACTCCAGCTGTAAGAAAGGGGCTGAGCCGAAGCCAGTCTCCTGCTTGGAGCAAGATATGTATTGGGAAGATCCACATTAAGAGTTTCCCTGGGCCCCCAATGCCGTTCTGCCTGCCAGTAGACCCCGTGGACTGGAGAGCAGAGCCCCGCACGTTCTCAGGACAGCCCGAGGGCACGCACCTCAGCCAGCACGCCGCCGTATCCATTTCCCTCGGCTTCTTCATCTTCCACAAAATCGTAGGTTACGTAATAGCTGTAAGTGATGAAAGGGCCCTGGGGCCCTGGTTCTGGGTCCAAGACCGAGGTGTCCAGAACCCCTCGGACATTTCCAATAGTCACCACCAACTGTGCTTCCTGGGTGAGGAGATCTGCAAGGGCGAGGGGCTGGGGTGAGGGGAGCCGCGGGGGTGAAGTGGACAGACAGACGGATGGGGATGGGGGTGGCGGGGGGAGCAGGTGAGCATGGCTCCTGCATTCTTTCTTCCCACAGACTTGAGTTCAAATCCCAGCTCTGCCAAGTTCAAACAATGATTTGGGGGTAAGTCTCCTTTGCATAAGACACCCCTCCTCTCAAGCCTTGTTTTCCAGATCTGTGTGATGGGAGTGCAGGATGGTTACAGACGGGACCATGTCACCTGGCACGCAGCAGCTATCACTATCGGTCTTCTCGCCCTGACCTTGAGGAGGCTCTGATGCAGCTTGTGGTGGGAGCCACAAGGGGGTGATCTCAAGCCACCATGGAAGTGAAGAAACTGATTGAATGTTTCCCTTTTGCCTAGGAAGGGAGGGGACCGTGGTGGTCCCGGCCTCCCTACCACTTCTGTCCCCAAATTTCAATCACAAAGGTCAAAATCTGGGAGAGAACTCAGACCAAGAAGGTGAGCTACACGTGACCAGGGTCTGGGTCAGCCAGGGAGTTGGGTGACAGATGGACACGTGCACCCAGCAGGGTGGTGGACGGGCAAGCGGCTCCCCCCTCCCCTCGCCTGCCCGTCAGCCCCTTACCCCCGCTGTGCCTCAGCCCCCGGAACTGATGCTTCTCACTGGACGCCACGGTGATGTCGTCCAGCACGCAGAGCCGGGACAGGCTGTCGATGGTGAAGCCCCGGTAGTAGGGCACCAGGGCCAGCGGGTTCCCCTGCAGCACCAGCAGCCTCAGGCACGGGAGCGTTCTGAGGCTGGCCACCATGCTCTGCAGGTCCGTCAGGTCGTTGAAGCTCAGGTCCAGGGAGACAAGGTTGGGCCTAGAAGGTGAGCGAGACCATCCAGGAGTCAAGGGGAAGAGGCCTCGTCCATCCAGGACACAGGAAGCTGGGGGTGCCTGGCCCCGCCCCTTTGCCCACCTGGCCAGTGAGGGGGGCCGGGAAGTGGGGCAGGGGCAGCCCCCCGACTGCACAAACCAGAAAGCAAACTGATGGCAGCTCTGAGAACAGAGGGAAACAACAAAAAACCCACAGGGGGACACATCGGCGCCCATTCGTGATCGCAGGTGACCGTCTCCCGCTGACTGAGTTCGGCGGCTTCACCTCCCCCTTCCTG